TGTTCTGACCTTCGACTGGACTTAAACTCTGCCTGGAAAACTGCCCCATTGGAAATTGAAATCTCCCAAGAAGCTGATACCGATAGCAGCCCAATGCAGGGTGCTGAACAGCTAACTCATGTTTTCAAACGTCCCCACCCCCACCGCCCCTGCCTACCGTCCCATACTACCCCACTGCGTTCCAAACAAAGCCCACCACAGCGCCCCTGCCAAAGAAGCTGAATCTGAAGTGAGGGCTAAATGGCTAACATTCAGTGCCAGTTACTTCCAAAGCTGAGAAATGAGTGACGTTTTGGCCAAATTCCCAAATCCTCTCACACATCCACAGCTCACTTGTCTGCTTGCCGCACAAGTGATGGATATGAATTAATTTCTTCCACAGAAAGGAAGATCTGTACAGTGTGCCAAGTCCATTCATCAAAACACTGCATCCTAATCAACTGACCTGTCCACACTCTGCCCACAAAAACATTCTGCATTAAAACAAATACACCAAATCTATGACTTTTCACATGAATGTAAAATAAATCTTGTTTAACCCTTAGAACCCTACATTTTTTGGGAATTGGGGTCAATTACAATTACAATTGCAGTTATAAAGTATTTATATGAGACAGTCACACAGGCCATATGTTGTTATTCTCAGGGGACCCTGGGCTACTCAGATATGCCATTGTTTGACATGTAAATGCTGATGGAAATTTAATATCTTTATAAATTTGAGTCATTTCTGATCAAAAATTTACCCGACGCCTGCTAAAGTTTGTATTTTTTTAATTACAGAGATCTTGAAAACAAGTGCAGTCGTAGTTCTCTTTTCAGAAATTGTTAGTCTGGAGTGTCTGTGAGCTGAAAGTGCAATCATTTTGATGGTGATTCATTCTATTAGTTATTATTAGTAAAAATAAACAATTAGCATAAGGCGGCCACGTTTTTTATAGATTTTCTGTCCTCTTGGATTCATAAAACTCTGATACACAGCAGGAAAGCCTTTATTTTTAGTTATAAATTGAGTTGCATATTTAATATCAGATATTTTTAATACTCAAAATCAATGTAAACTGAAAGATAGGGCTAAATATTGTTCATTTTATAATCATATTTGTTATATTTATTGTCATTGTAATGTGTTTTAGGGCCTGTTTGTGTGATTTTGAGGGAAAGAGGGAAAGCGTACACTCATTGTGTTGAATGGGACACTGCAGTTTATCGCTCCCCCCCACCCCCAACCCCCCCACCTCACCTCAGCAGCATGCACACAGGCACAGCTAATCAAACTAAGTGTGACTGCATTTGAGTTATTTATGCGTATTTTGCTGTAAATTTCTGATTATCAGCACTAAACCCAGAGTCTGAATCAATCAGACGACTGTTTGAGACACGATGGAAACTTCTATACTGAACACGTTGCTTCGGGGGGTTTAGATGGGCCTTTTAAATGGAGGTAAACAGGATCCGAACGGTGGTTTTCTGAACTGGATTACTGACTGGATCATGGCTAAAATCTCCACAGAGTCACTCTAGACACACAGGGTAAGACCTGATGGTCAGCATGATGTGTGATTTGCATCGCTGTTTTTAAAATTAATAATGCTCTCTAAACTTAAGTATTCTGACATTTGGTTGAATGGTATTTTTATCAGTGTTCAATTACAAACTGACTCTCAAGCTCAAGCACACATCCAAACAGACACTTGAACAGAAGGCCAGAGCAATAAAGAAAGCTTTTTGCGATTTTAATGCTATCAGAGCAGAGTGGTAAATATGATACGGGCTGTCACCCAGACTTCAGAGAAACATTTCACTTAATCCTGCCTCTGTCACCACGCCAAGCGATGGGGGTCTGTCCTCACACGCCATCTCTCAATGGTCTATATGTCAGGCAGCATCTGAGGCCTTGTCACTTTCAGAAAGAACAAAGTGAGTGAGCTGACTGTAAAGCTAATGGACTCCGCTCAGCTTGACGTGTTGAGTTAGTTACACTGGAACAGACTGAACAGCCATAGACTTTCATCTGTAAAGTGAAGGTTCAGCCATTTCTCTGTGCCAATGTGGTGACACTGTAACATACGTACACCGATCAGCCATAACATTAAAACCATGTTTCTACACCATCAGCTCCACTTACTATATAGGTGCACTTTGTAGTTCTACAGTTACAGACTGTAGTCCATCTGTTTCTCTGGGTACTTTGTTAGCTCTTCAGTGGTCAGGACCACCACAGAGCAGGTACTATTTGGGGGGTGGATCATTCTCAGCACTGTAGTGACACTGACGTGGTGGTGGTGCGTTCAGAGTGCAGTTTTTTACCGCTCACTGTCCACTACCTTGTCAGTCCACCTCGTAGATGTAAAGTCAGAGGCAAAAGCTCATCTGCTGCTGCACGGCTTGTATTGGTCATCCTCTATTTCTGCATCAGTGGTCACAGGATGCTGCCCACAGGCCTCTGCTGGCTGGATAATTTTTGGTTTGGTGGACTATTCCCAGTCCAGCAGTGACACTGAGGTGCTTAAAATGTCCAGCAGCACTGCTGTGTCTGATCCACTCGTCGGCACTGTTGTCTGAAATTGGTCTGGGTTTGTCATTGGCTACATTGCAAATGCATTAGGTGCATTTTCCTGTAACAATGATCATCCTCATTGGCTTTTTTTGTAAATGATGAAACAAACTAAGTAAAGCAAGAAAAGTAGAGCCAAGTTTCTGCGACCAAATTCACAATAAAAGGGACCACCATGACACACACGTCCTCCTCTGCAGAGGAAAATAAATAAAGACGTAAAAAATCCAAACGTGGCAGGACGAGGGGTGACGGAGTGAACACACTGGACGCCATCATCTTTCTCTCTCTCTCTCTCTCTGTCCATCTCCTGCAGAGTCACTTCCTGTAGTGATTAGTGTCAGTAGCCCAGCGAACACAGCAGCTACAAGCTCACTGCCCGTTGTGACGAGTGAGTGAGACGAGATCAACACACACTCCAACGCCTCCCACATCACACACGCTATTTTAAGGACTAATTGGACAAGCTGCATATTTTTGTTCCCTTTTTTTTCCCCCTTCCGTAGCTGTGGGGCATGTATCGTAAGCCTCCGTCTGCTGTGTTTAAAATAGGCGAGAAGTTGTTAAAAAATTCATTGGGATTTAATTAGGTGATACATCCCCATTTACAAAAGGGGAATTAAAGAGAACAGTGACGTAATGCGATAATCACCCGAGAAGGAAATGAAAACAGAGTTGATCAAGGGAGAATAATGACTTGAGTAAGGAAAATAAGAGGAATGTGAGACGAGGAGGAGTTTAACATTCAAGATTAAAGCCTAGTTTGAATAGAGTGCAGAGTTCAAACCAAGTACCAAAAGAATCTTCATGTGCTTTCTGTGGTATAGCGTTAATAGTACAGTGCAGATCAAAGAAGAACCACAGATCAGGTGCATCTGCCTGAGCTCTACAGAGTTTAGCATTTTCTCTGGTTTAACAGCCTCATCAGTTTATTACAGAGTTTTTCGTGAGTAGAACTGGGTGTTAGAATAAAATACGACTTTACTGTCCAGGCAAGACAGGAAAACTTTTTATTTACCCTCATACAATACAATGCATGCACAAGATCAACAACAATTAGGGAAGTTCAAGTTCACGTTTTGTTGCAAGAAGACAGAGAACAGCAAGGATGCATGTACAGCATTTGTTGCTACACTCATTGTCCATTTTATCAGCTCCACTAACCGTATAGCAGCACTTTGTTGTTCTACAATTACAGACTCTAGTCCATCTGGCTACGTTCACATTAGCAGACTGAAGAGGCACAAATCCGATTTTTTGCCCTAATGTGACCCAGATCTGATGTTTTCAGGGCTGTGTGGACACAAATCTGATCTTTTCAAATCCAACCTGAGCCACTTTGGTATGTGGTCCTAGATCGGATACGTATCCGATTCGTGGCCATGTGACCTTAATGTGACACTCAGATCGAAAATCATGTGCTTTTTTTCCACTGCACGTGCGCCATCATTCAACGTTACCATGGCAGCAGCGCCAAACAGACGTTAAAGCCTGTAAACGGTGGAAAAGCAGCTCATCTCACCTTTTTCTCCTTCGTCTCGCTCTAATAATGAAGCTGACAGCTGATCAGAGTTAACTATCTTCTCAGCGAAGCTCGTTCTGCTCGTTAGTTTGTGCTGATGATGCTCGTGATTCATTCACGTGACGTTACTGAGTAGGATGAGCTCATGAGGGTCATTTCAGGACGCCGGTTCGTCACATTAATGACAGATTTGAATCACTTACCTAAACGAGTGTGAACCATCGTGTCAGAGAGATCAGATTTGAGCAAAAAATCGGATTTGAGCAACGAGGCTTGTAATGTGAACGTAGCCTCTGCATACTTTGTTAGCCCCCTCTTACCCTGTTCTTCAGTGGTCCACCACAGAGCAGGTACTATATGGGTGGTGGATCATTCTCAGCACTGCAGTAACACTGACGTGGTGGTGGTGTGTTAGTGTGTGTTGCGCTGGTATGAGTGGATCAGACACGGCAGTGCTGCTGGAGTTTTTAATCATTGTGTCCACTCACTGTCCACTCTATTAGACACTCCTACCTTGCTGGTCCTACTTGTAGATGTAAAGTCAGAGCCGAGTTTGCTCATTAGTTTATCTGAGGCGGCCTCTAATGCTCATCCAACACGAAGAATTGCAGATTTCTCAGCTATTTTTTAATAATGAAACATCTTTTTCAATGTATTCCTCTACATGCTGCTAATGTTATTATGTATTTGATTGGTCAATCTCAAAAATGGAATTTCAAACAGGCCATATATTTATGGAGCATTTTCACTTGGATTTAGTGTTTAATATTGACACAAGTTTGAACAGTCACTTTGGGTGGGCCAGTGATAAAATTGGATAAGCCTAGCCCACCAGGGCTAATCACACCAGCGCCGCTGTCAACATGTGTAGTCAGAGCAAGAAAACACCAAAACCACTAAACCTTGATACAGTTAACTCACCTCAGTCATGTGGATAAGGTAGAAGCGCAGCTCCTCACTATGATCTGTTGGAGAACAGAGAAACACAAATTAGCATTGTAGACTAAAAAAACTCTCCCACTCAGTGAGCTTTCCAGAGTTCATATCACAATCAGTCACCACGCCACACATCAACGATCTGATTGGTCACCACTCAGTTCATTTGCATGAAGCCCAGAATGAGAGAGCAGAGAGAGAATGTGCATCAACACGGAGCCATGCTGGTGACATCCTGTATAAATAAAAATAATGTGTGGCCACGACTTATTAATGTGTGGGAACAAGATCCTAGTGTGTGGCCATGACTTATTAATGTGTGGGAACAAGATCCTAGTGTGTGGCCATGACTTATTAATGTGTGGGAACAAGATTCTAGTGTGTGGCCACGACTTAGTAAGGTGTGGGGAAAAAGATCCTAGTGCATGGCCATGACTTAGTAAGGTGTGGGAACAAGATCCTAGTGCGTGGTCATGATTTAGTAATGTGTGGGAACAAGATTCTAATGTCTGGCCACAACTTAGTAAGGCATGGGAACAAGATTCTAATGTGTGGCCACGACTTCGTAAGGCATGGGAACAAGATCCTTATGCATGGCCACGACTTAGTAAGGCGTGGGAATAAGATCTTAAGGCATGGCCATGACTCAGTAAGGTGTGAAACAAGATCCTAATGTGTGGCCACAACTTAGTAAGGTGTGGGAACAATATTCTAGTGTGTGGCCACGACTTAGTAAGGTGTGGGGAAAAAGATCCTAGTGCATGGTCACGATTTAGTAATGTTTGGGAACAAGATTCTAATGCGTGGCCACAACTTAGTGAGGTGTGGGAACGAGATTCCAATGCGTGGCCACAACTTAGTAAGGCAAGAGCTCGTTCCCACGCCTTAGTAAGCTGCAGCCATGACTTAGTTAGGCGTGGGAATGAGATAATTAAGTCGTGGCCACACATTAGGATCTCATTCCCATGCGTTAATAAGGCGTGGCCACGTATTATTTTCATTTATATGGCATGTCACCAGCAGGGCTCCATGCAACAATGGTCTAATGTGTCAGTTATATTTATTTTATTGCCATCTCTCCCCTCTTTATTATTTTATTATATGACACGATCTGTTTGATGTAAAGTATCAAAAATATTCAAATCATAAAAGGGCAAATAATTTAATGTGACATCATCATTCATATCACATATATGCTGCTTAAAATTTTAGCACCCCACCCCCCCCCCAACCTAAAACACCTTCTCGTTTCCCTGACGTGGGCGGCACGGTGGCGCAGTCGGTAGTGCTGTCGCCTCACAGCAAGAATGGCCTGGGTTCGATTCCCGGCCGGGCGACCAGGGTCATTTCTGTGTGGAGTTTGCCTGTTCTCCCCGTGTCTGCGTGGGTTTCCTCCCACAGTCCAAAAACATGCAGTCAGGCTGATTGGACACGCTGTGACTGTGTATGTCTGTCTGACTGGCGACCTGTCCAGGGTGTATCCTGCCTTCCGCCCAATGACAGCTGGGATAGGCTCCAGCACCCCACCGTGACCCAGAAGGATAGGCGGTTTAGATGATGCATGTATGTTTCCCTGACATGATTTGAGGCAAATGTGTGGAGTTAATGGGAAAATGTTCCACTTGGATTTTTGGCCAAAATGTTGCTTTAAATGTAACAAACAAGCAGAACACCTAAGCACTAAAGCCTGAACAACCGAAACAGGAAAACATGCCTTAGCAGGCAACCACACATATATATTGTAATTCCCTGCACGGCTGTAGTTCAACACGTCTCCCCTGCTGCCCTCAGTCTCCAGTCTCACTCTCAGATTGATCACTTTGATTTTGCACTGGTAGTTCTCTGCTGTCCATCACACTGCCTCTCCAGTCACACTCTGTCACTCAGCAGGGACAGGTGCTGACAGACCACTCTGACTGGTGGCTGTTTACTTTCCCCCTTCAGACCCGACTAATTTTAAGTCTATCATATCTAACGTCCGGTGATACATTCAGAGACTTTCTGCTCGTCTCTCCTTTAGTTCAGCATAATCAGCCCCCATTGTAGTTAGTTAGCATGTGTGTCCACACTGGTCACAGTAAAATGGACCAGCATGTGGAAATGGAGCTTTCTGTGTTTCTGTGTTTGTTATCACTGTATAAAAAAGATCCATGCTGCCTTTATTGCTGGATGCACTGTGAGTGTGCGCACACATTAACAACACGATTCACATCACTGTGGAAACAGTTAATTGTTATGAATTTGTTTCATCAGAGTAACAACATTAAAACGTTACTTCAGCGTGAAGTGTGTGCCCAGTTATATAACTGAATGTGAAAAAAGGTAATAGTACAGAGCCCTGCTGGTGACATCCCATATAAATAGAAATAATGAGTGGCCGCGGCTTATTAACGCATGGGAATGAGATAATTAAGTTGTGGCCACAACTTAGTAAGGCATGGGAACAACATCATGTCTTACTTAAGTTGTGGCCATGCATTAAGATCTCGTTCCCACACCTTACAAAGTCGTGGCCACAAATTATTTTTATGTATACAGGATGTCACAGGGCTCTGTATAATACCTCTCTTGTTGTGCATCATAATATCATTATATATATATATATATATATATATATATATATATATACACACCAATCGGGCATAACATTATGACCACCTCCTTGTTTCTACGCTCATTGTCCATTTTGTCAGCTCCACTTACTGTATAGGTGCACTTTGTAGTTCTACAGTTACAGACTGTAGTCCATCTGTTTCTCTGATACTTTGTTAGCCCCCTTTTACCCTGTTCTTCAGTGGTCAGGACCCCCATGGACCCTCACAGAGCAGGTACTATTTGGGTGGTGGATCATTCTCAGCACTGCAGTAACACTGACATGGTGGTGGTGTGTTAGTGTGTGTTGTGCTGGTCTGAGTGAATCAGACACAGCAGTGCTGCTGGAGCTTTTAAACACCTCAGTGTCACTGCTGGACTGAGAATAGTCCACCAACCACAAATATCCGGCCAACAGCGTCCTGTGGGCGGCATCCTGTGACCACTGATGAAGGACTAGAGGATGACCAACACAAACTGTGCAGCAGCAGATGAGCTATCGTCTCTGACTTTACATCTACAAGGTGGACTGACAAGGTAGGAGCGTCTAATAGAGTGGTTCGTCCTCACTCGGAGTTCGGGCCCCGCCTTCCTGACAGCTCTCACAGCCATCATTGGGGCCCGGGGGACGGACGCATGACACTACCCCCTAATACTACTGCGTATATAAAAGGTATAACACTACACTGTCAGAAATAAAGGTTCTGTGCAGGTACATATTTTGTTCATCAAGGTACAAACAGTGTAAATCTTCCCTCAACAGGTTCAACAGTGGTTTTAAGGTCCAGTTGTGCACCTTAAATAAGTTTTTTCCAGGTGAAAAGTTTGTATTTGTACCTTTTCATAATCGAATGTTTTAAAACAGAACAGTAAAATAAAAGCCTGGAGACGAGACGGGGTGTGTGGAGTCAGTACAGCTTAGAAAACAATTTCAATGGATTATGGTTCAGTTATGTTCCCTGACTAAAGGTACTGAGATGTACCCTTGAGGGTTCCACCCCAGTGACAAGAGCGGTACTGCCGCTCACAGTTTACTACCTTTTTTCTGAAAGTGTCATCAACGCTATTACATAACAATACCAGCTCCTCAAATTGTAGTTTGCTACTGCAAGGTATTTTGGTGAGGTTTTCAGGGTTTTGATGTCAGTTCCAAAATGGGAAAATGTACGTAGGGCAAAATGCATCCACTTTGGAACATTGTTGTTTACCACAGGGTGTGATAGCGGTGACAGCAATGACAACAGCATTCATTTTTCCCATAGGCAAAACCAGCTTAGATCCAGTGGTCCTTATTTCATCATGTCACCGACTACAAAATGACAGCATGCCCTCAGTGCTCCATTTGTCACATATACAAGACACAAATTCACACATTTTTAGCTTTTATATACCATGATCACATTAATTACACTGTTAAAATGCTCCTTCAAGGGTTATTAAGTAAGGGAAATGGTTCTATGTTGTATATAATCACCGAAAAGGGTTCTTCTGTTGTTATAAGTTTGACATAATAACAACAGCATATGGTGCTATATAAAAACCATTTTCAAAAAATGTTCTATATAGAACCATATACAACACATTCTCCACCTGAAGAACCATGTTACCATGCAGAGGACCATTTATGCATGAAATGGTTCGGTAACACTTTCTATGAATGTCGCATTTGTAAGCATCTATAAACACATTTATAACATGTTATAATGTATTCATAAGGCATTATAAACATGGTTATAAATATTTATAAAAAATAATTACACTGAATTACACTTTATAGCCATGCTTATTATACATTACGAATTGTTAATATAATGCATTATAAATAGTGTTAATAACATGTTATAATTTCAGTGCCAATGAAGTCAGTCCCAGCTTGGAGAGCGTAAAGTAAAGACAAATACCAAGCTAACGGTGGTGAACATTACCTTTCCCACATTGGGTAAAACACTGATACAGCACTAGTTTAAACTCTGACATTTGAAGCCTGTAATGTGCTTTATTGTGAATGTTTTAGTGTTTCAGTAAATCCTTCAGTAAATACTTCAACTTGAAGCCTCAATCTTAACACTGGAGGAGGCTTTAGTACAGTACGCTTCACTTTACTTAGAGCGGACAAATACGACTTATGAGCTCTTATAATTTGTTATGATCAGTACTTATAATGTATTATGTTATCAATTCATAATGCATAATAAACACGGCTATAATGTGTAATGCATTTTTATAAATATTTATAGCTATGTTTATAATGTCTTATGAATGCATTATAACATGTTATGAATGTGTTTATAGATGCTTACAAAGGTGACATTCATAGAAAGTGTTACCAATGGTTCTATACAAAACCATTCGCTTTACTAAGGAACCCTTAAAGAACTTTTTAAAGAGTTTACCTGCAACATCACACTGAAAAATCACTTTAGCAAAGAAAACAGAG